GTTTTCTTTTTTTTTCTTTTTTTTTTAGCTGCGATATTTCAGCCCCGAATCTTTTAGCCTGCCGAAAAGAAAACAGAATATTGTCTGAGTGATCATTTCCAAGATATCATCTAGTCTTTGCACGCGTTGTGAATTACATAAATAATCTGCAAAGTGCTTCTTCTCCTAATGAGATCTCAGAGAAGGGCTTGGGGCTCAAATGAATAGTTTTTCTTTTCTTTTCCTTTTTTCTTTTCATACACCACATACGGGTGAGCAATCACTTTTAAAAGATAAATTACAAGAAAAAGCTCATCAAATGAAGATCCGTCAATAATCACACACTTGCATGTGGGTTGGAGTATACAATAAACCAAGCATATTTAAATTCAGAATTTTTATAGGATACAATGCATTAAAATAAATTCACAAGTGCTTAAATAAATAGCTTTTGGTTATGCTAGAAAGGGCATTTTGCCCTCACTGTTTAAAAAAAAGTTTTTAAATTAACTGTGCATTATCCATTTCTTTTATCTTATCAATCTCCTCGTGATTATTACATGTGAGGTATGAGGCTCGTGCATAGAAATTCCTTTGCACCCCTGAGATTTGGCTATGGGAGTCTTATATGTGTGTACAGACATGTTAATTTGCATTTGGGGTCTGACCGGTAAAGAATTTGGGTTATCAAACTCTTTTAAAAAATAAAAAATAAAGAGATACAACGATGTTATTTTTTTTATTTTTTTACTGAGCATGAATCAAATTATGTCGGGTCCTTTGAGTTTTAATGGTGGTATGATGAAATCAGTTTAATGTAATTTTAAAGAATATATTAGCTCTCAAATTATCAGATTTCTATGTCAATTTGTCGGGACAGGGCCGGATTTGATGACGGTGATCGGACATGACCTTCTTCACGGAATTCTCCTTCGGCGTGGATTTTTTCCGTGAGCAGAGAACATTTGTGAACAATGGAACAAAAGATCAAAAAGGGCTTTCATTTTTCGGCCTGGATCATAGACTAGCTTGTCCATGGCAGATCATTTCTAAATGGGCCTACGGGAACACTGAACTAATACCTGGCCCATGCAGAAACAGCAGAGTGGTTGTATTTTCCTTCACGTTCACAAATTTATACTTGTGTGTTTTCCTACTTTTCCTCATACCTCCATTGAACTGTAACACTTGCCAATGCTCCATGATCCAGTTTTGATAGTTCGTTTTTAAAAAATGAATATCCCTTAAAATTGTATTTCTCTTCCTGCAATTATAACAGAATGATATCTATTTCAATGCTTGGTGAAATTAAGATTCTTGATTTGAATCTTATTAGCAAGATTTTTAAAAAGAACGGGGAATTCATCATTCAAAATGTATTGTGAATTTCTTTATAAAACTCATGGAACATTATAATCTTATTATTTACAATGTTTATTTATTTATTTTTCTCTAGTGGCAAGTTTAAAGTCAAATTAAATTAAATTATTGGACAAAAATAATAAATGACGGTTTCAAAATCTGCAACAAAGTTTATTTTCGTCCACTTACTTTTCTAATGATACATTTTCAATCCTTGTGAATTTATAAAAATAAATTATAATACAAAATTTTATTTTCTTTACTTGTCACCTCATAATTAGAAAAATAAGAGATAAAAGTTGTTAAGTTTTAATGATAAAAAAATTATTATTAGCATCAATTCTGATTATAAAAAAATATCACTTTTAAGAATCATAAATTCTACTTCACGAGAGTATTTTAGCTTTCATGTTATTTTACCATGTGATGGCATGAAAAAATAGATCCATATGGAGAAAATTTTGATTTTTTTAGTTAATTTTTATTTTTTTCAATAATTTTTTCTTGTTGTCGTTTTAATGCAATAAAGGTTTATATGAATCTCTAGGTTGTTCTATAAATGTTTTGGATGAAAATTAATAAAAATAACTTTTAAGGGTTAAGAAACCCAATTTTTTTAAAAAAAAAAAACAGGAGAGCCATTGAAAATTGAAAATGCAGATAACACATCATTTGCATCGTTTATTAAAAAAAAAATGGTTAGGTTAACAACACAGCATTTACCCAACAAAAAAAAAAAAAATAATTTAGATGGATAGGTGTTGAAGCCTATCCTTGCTTTCGGCCTGGATAGTGGTCTATTAAGATAAGACTTGTGAGCTCCTTTTTAAAGTATTCTCGTTTAAATTTTTGTAGCTTCATTCAAACAAAATTAAAGTTTAAAGAAAAAAATCATACATCAATAAAAAAAAATTGAATCATGGAGATAACTTTTTTTTATTAACTTTTTTTAAAAAATAACATGGTTTTTTTTGTGAAATTTTTCTGATTTTATGACTTTACTTATAGATTTAACGGATTCAACCTGATTTATGTAAGTTTTTTTTTAATTTTTTTTTAATTTTATACCATGATAATAAGTTTTTTATAAATTAACTTTTTTTTTCTACAGGGGTCCTATTTTCATGTCCCAGTCATAAATTTGACTTTTTTTTATATTTACTAAAGTTGTTTTTTATAAAATAAAATAAATTAAATATTTTATTTTATTTTTATCTTTTGATATTTGATTGATTGAAACTCAATTTCTTGATCTATTTAAATTTGTGTTATAAATGGTTATAACGATCTCGTGACTCAAGTTAAGAATTGATTTGGTTGATCTAACATATCACGATCTCATCTTCTATTGGGATTAATAACTTATTTTTTAAAAACTATTATTTACTTTATTATATAATAATAAAAATAGACGATCGCAAAATTAATCACCAAATAAATATTGTGACCTTTTTCATGATTTTGGTAATCTCATAGAAAATAAAACAAAATAAATTATGAAACTCGATTCTCAGTCGGCTTAATATCGAATGATGAAATAAAAAAATAAATATGATTTTAGGAGAAAAGTAAAACTTGCAAAATCCATCAATTATATGTTTTTTCTAAAATTCATAAATAATCACATAATCAGATTCAATTAAAAATAAATAAAAAGGCATCTCATTAAGCTCACAAATCAGAGCAATCAGGATTACCTCGTTAAACTTACAAACTAGATCATTTATCCCACAAAGTTCAATAGCTTGTTTAAAAAAAAAACATTTTTTAACTTTTTTTTAAAAAAAAATAGACCATGCTGCAATATTGAAATATTTTTCTAGTACCAATCCGATGTTGAGATATTTTTTTGATGCTGTGACAATCATGTAAAAAATATATTAAAATAAATTATTGACTTTAAATCTCAATAAACACATTATATAGTGACTAATTTGTTTAAAAAAAAAGTCAATAATCAAAAGAAAAAAAACATTAAGATATTTTTAAAAAATAATATTGTAAATTGTAATTTACGGTGCATATGAGCATAGAGAAACAATATTTTTCTCACATCTTTTAGTTTGGTATACTCAATACTTAAGCCCACTTGTTTTTGTGTTTTAAGACTATAAAAAAAAATAGTTTATGTTTTTTTTGTCTTTAAATTGTTTTGATGTTTTAGTATAAAAAATTTTAAAAAATATTATTTTAAAGTAAAAATAGCTTTAAGAGACAACCAATATACTATACTATGGTATTAAACGGGTCTTAATAATAAATACTTAATATTTTTATTTAAATATATTCATAGTTTTACAATCATTCAAATTTTGAGAGTATCTATTACAATCTAAAAAACACAAATAACATGCCGCTTATGAAGCGAAAGGCATGTCGGCTGGACACGGAGGGATCAACACTAACATTCCGCCCCGATTGAATTTCATTATGCACAGCTTGTTTGTTGTCATCACCGTCGTTGAAATAACAAAAATTATAAATTTAATTTAAATAATAAAATTAAAAATCATAAAAACTCCGGTTGAAGAGTAAAAGAAATAAATAATTTTTTTTAAAAATAACCAAATTAAAACACAAGTGTTCTAAAATATTAAATCAATACTAATAATTTTAATATATTAATGTTAAAAATAAAAAAAATAATTTTAATATTTTTTCAAATAAAAAATACTTTTAAAATTACCATATATTACAATATCAATCGGAGTAAGCTGTCATTTTGTTTAGAACTGGGCATGTGGCCATGGATTTAATTTTCTCCAGTAAGATTTTGACATCTTAATTATTACACGGAACAATAAATACGATGAATAACAATTTTTTTACTGTAGGAAAATTGTACTACATAAACGTCTGAACTCGAAATAAACAATGGATAAAAAAATTTTAACTGACAAATGATAGATAATTAATAATACCATAAAGCTTGGAGCATATTATAAACTTCCCATATCAAATAAATTGCTTTATAAATTACATAATTATTTAGATTATGATCTTTCTATACTTGAATGCTGAGCATTAGTGTGCGTAAAAGCATTGATTAACATTTATATCAGATTTCTACTGTCTTTAGAGTGAGCATTTTGAGGTTGCACTAACAGCCACCCAAATTCATCCACTGTTCATCCCTTCCCTGGTCACAGCCACCCAAATTCATCCACGCTGCCAACAATTTCTTCTTCAAAACCTCAAGACAAGCGGCACAGTAATTATTTAAAAATAAATGCAAAATATAAAAAAAACTATAAAACCCAGCACAAAAATAATAATGAAACTTGGTTGAACAGGTCAGTACGTTGACCGATTAGTCTAGGCCCGACTCGAAGTTTAGTTTGAATCTCGTTTCATCTCGAATCAATTTTTGTTGATTGGAAAAAAATTGTTTAGATTTCGAGGATTCATTAAAAAACCTTAAAGCAATTTTATTTTAATAAAAAAATGAATTAACTCCACTAACCATGAGTTGACTTAACAAATTTATAATTCGAGTGAGTCTTGAATGGGATAAAACCCTAAACTGGATCTAACAATTATTATCAAAAGATCAAAATGAAAAAGAAAATATAAAAAAAGTTGGAAAAAATAAAATGAATAGCATTAGGGCTATATTCATGGAAAGCAAAAAAGAACAATCCAAATGCCCAAGCTAATTTCCGAGTTCAAGTCTCTCAACACACCAATCGTATTGTCCCCAAAAGAATAAAAGAAAGAACGAAAACAAAAACTCATCGTCTCGGCATCCATTGTTGTTATTTTACTTCGCGAACTTTAATATCGCGGCACAGTGTATTAAGCCCCGATTCAAGAAACAAAAGAAAAAGAAAAACAAAAAGAAAAAATAAACGCTAACGTACGCATCTCACTCTCCCTCGCCAATCCATTACCGCTACTTCCCTCCTCCCTGTCAAAGGTCCATTACTCGCTCAGGTCTGATATCCCCCCCCCCCCCCCCC